TGCTGCACCAGCAGCGTGCCGCTCTCGCGGAAGCGGCCACCCCTCTCCCGCTCCTCTCTCCGTCTGGCTCTGCAAACTGCTGCCTCCTTCTGCCGGTCCCCACGACGGCTCGTGCCTGGCTGCACCAAGAGCCCCATGTGTGAGAAACCCAACGGAGCCGCTTGGCTTTCCCAACTGCCACCCCACCAGGACAGCAACTCCCTCCCGAGCTGCAGCGCTCCCGTGCCGCTGGCCTCTCCTGGCCAGGCCAGGCGTCCCGCCAGCTCTGCCACCTCTCCTGATCACCAGGCACGCTTGGAGGTGCAGCACTCAGGGCAGACACTTTTGCTCACCTGTGTGCCTTTCCGGTCAGTCCAGAGCACAAACGACCGACTTGCAGCTCTGCCTCCCAGATGGCAGCAGGCACCATGAGCCCCACCGAGACCTGCAGCTCGGGCTTACCCCCTGCCCCAGGACTGGCCTGCCCTCTCCCCTGCCCTACCTCTGTAGTTCTCAACTAGAACAGCCATGGAGACATGCCACAGGCATCCCAGGAAGGCAGCTGGAGGAGTTCTGCCCTTCTGAACCGAAACACCGAGCGCCCAGCCATGCTAATGCACAATATGAATACAAGTGGATTGCAGCAAGATCTTCTTTCTCCCTGGTAAGCCATTAACCTTTCAGATGACAGCTCTGCAAACTAAATGACTGAACGATTCCCAGGGTCAGCGCAAATCTACATTTTCAAAACCTGACATCAACAAGTAAAAGTTGTGACTGAATCCCGGTCTCTCCGAGAGGAAGATTAAACGCCTGTGACACATCATCTGCAATCAGAGTGCTCCATTTCCCAAAGTATCCATCACAGATTGATAACATCCACGCAAAAAGTTAAGTGCAATTATGTCTGTCACTGTAAAACACACTTCAGCAGCACTGACTGACATCTTGCTTGCAGCTGACAAATTGCGAGAGGGCTGTTTGAATGACGGTGGTAGAGACTGCTGCAGCACCTTGGGAAGGGATGCGAAATGCACTCCTGAACCACAGAAGCCATACGGGCTCACAAAGCACTGTGGCTGTGACGGGAGCCGTCGCATAGGCAGCCACAAAGCAAAATGGTTCGAGGTTGGCTCTGCGTGCATTCACAGAAGTCAGGAACTTGCTCCCAAAAGGCTGGCTGGACTCGAAGAGGAGAATGTCACACACAAATCCTGCTCTAGCCTACTCCAACAGAGCTTGAGGCATGGAGAGGCTGAGCCCCAAGACACTGCTCAAATGCTCGTGACACGTACTTTTCTCCAAGCCCCCAGCCCATGCACCGGCAATCGCTGATCCACAGGCTGGGTGAAGCAGAAGTGCGCAAAGGGCCAGGTGAGTTACCTGTTACTAGCACCTCTTTTGGGGGAGGATTACCTTCTTGTTCCCCAAAGCGATGTCACCATGCAGCACCGGAGAGGGCAGGCCTTGAATACAGAGCAGAAGTACTGAGGAAAGTTACATTAAACTCCCACTGGCGACTCAAGTAGTTCTTTAGTAGCAGTCTTCTAGGATGGGAAACTGCAAGTGCATTTCTCCAGGCTGCCATTAGTGCCAAGAAGCTGTCGCAGAATTTGGAGAGAAAAGACAGTAAAGCAGCTTGATGCCTTGCACAATGGCACAGTTGTGCTGCACAGCACAGCATGCCATCCTCACTGAGATGGCGAGGGCTGCCGTTAGAGACCATTAAGCCAGATGCCTGCAGTATGGAACACCAAGGAGAAGAAATGGCTGAAAAATAACATATGCAGTCCAGCACGAATATCAAACAAAGCCTCTCCTTGTGCAGCTCTGACTGAGAGCCGTAACCCTGAGACACAAGCAGCAGAAGCAGCATTGCTGACGTGCAGCAAGCTGTGGAGGTCAAACCTCTGACACATGACAAAACACTGATGTGCTGCCATCCACTGCCATCAGTAACCCACATCTTGGATCAGAGGAGGAAACATGGCTGGTGCAGAAATAAACATCTCCCACAGTAAAAAGTCCTTCCATTTAGGAAGGTTTTGCTGTGCAGAAGCTCACTGGTGTGTTTTACTGGTTTAGCTTATATCCAGGGTTAGCAATTGTCCTGAAGCATCCAAGCATATCCTCTTGATTTAAAATGATTTTATAATGCTAGGCAGCAACTGAAGAGAATAGCTTAAATATCTGACCAGCCTAATGGCAGAATCTCCACAGTGCTCTCTATTCAGCACTGCTCACCGACTTTCTCTTAGCACTCATGGCAGAATCAGAATAACTCACTGCTGTTCCTGTCCAGATATATCCACAGGGAATAAAACATCAAACTGGATACCAGTGTAATCTCATTTCTCTATGGTGACGTAAAAAGAAGAGGTTACTTGTGACTACAGACTTCCACAAACATTAAGTGTTGAGTAACTTACCACATTGCTGATAAAGTATTAGAAAAGGCTTTCAAGTAGTATATGTTCCCTGTAATAATGAAATATTTGGGAGATGCACCTTTATATACATCTCTATTTTTAAAAAATATATTGGATAATAAATAATCAGAGTAAAAAAAACAGACATGAAAGATGCTTTGAATGATCAGGCTGGTGGTGTAAAAGTTACCTGTAAATCACGCACGGGGCATGAGAGTGGAGCTGGCTACACACAGGTGGTTTTTACTAGGAGGCATTAATGTAACATTCAATTATTCCACTGCATACTGGCTGTTTTAACTCAGCCAAATTAGAATACATTTTATATTGACTATTTTGACATTTGCTTTATTTGGCAAGTAAAACAAAACTGATCCAATTTCCTTGCAGCCATTGTAAACCATAAACTGTACAACAAGAGGTTATAAAATATATAAGCCTTGTAAACACTTCTTTTCAGACTGTCGCCGATGCTCTGAGCTCTAATTTTGGCCCTGTTCCCAATAGCTCTGACGCTGCTCTGCAGCCTTCCCTGCTCGGCCATAAAGTGACCCTTCCACACTTAGTGATTAAGGACCGCCATTGACATTCTCTTGCTATGATAATTTTTTCTCTTTATTGTGGCAATCTGCCCAGGCAGGAATTTCTTGCAGACAGAAAATGAAGATCTGTGCTCTAAAATCAAGACATCTTTTTCTCTGATCTTGCATGGCCTGTGCTAGCATGTAGCTTACATCCAGCAGAGCTTCAAAACAACGTATCAGCTCCTGGTGGGACAGGCTGAAATCTCCAGAAGACTGCTGGCTTTTCATCTCCATCTCTGTTTGAGACAGCATCTCTGCCTACAGCACACCTGGACGGAAAGTACACAGTACAGGACGGAAAGCAGTGTGCCACGGCATGGCAGGCGACTGAGCAAAACTCTCAGTGAAAGAAATGCCCAAATGCATTGGAGAGTTCAAAGAGCCACTGCAAGACAGCAGATTTAAGTCTGGGTCACGGATGAAGGCTCAAATGTACACTCGTGTCTTAAAAAGATACCTGATAGCTTTTTCTGGAACAGTTTACAGCAGTTTAAAAGTGCCACTCTGAAATGACCTCTAAAATCAAGACGCCGAAGGACATGAGTATTTTCCACCCATACAATACAATGACCTTTGTATACAACCAATCCCCCTGGAATTCCCCTCCACCATCTCCTTTGAAATTCTAGCTCTCAACAGTTATTGTAATACTGTAAATGTATCTGCAGTATACCAAATGCCTAGTGCAAAAATACACGTTTGCTTAATTAAGCAAAAGCCCAAAGGGACCCATAGAGAACGTGCTGTCCCCTGGCAATAGCCCGGCCCAGAGTTCAGTCAATGAACCTCATCAGTAGGAGCCCGTCTCACACTGGATGCTGTGCTTTCATAGCAAATGCCAAGAGTATAAAGCACGCAGTTTAACCTCTGTCTGGGTTGGTTTGTTGCTTAACAACACTCTGGTTTGTCCAGAGAAATCCAGCAAGTAAGCTGTCAATACAGGACTACTATTATATGCAAGTATACACACAAGTGCATACATTTATATGCACACACAAATATCATCCATAACACAGTGAAAACAACCTGGACAGACATTATGCCAGCATCTGCCCAGAAGTGCTGCTCCTGTCAGTCACTGCAGGATGAGCAGTCTGCTCTGCATGCTCAATGTCAGCTGCAAGACTATAGAACAGTAGTCGGGTTCAAGAAAAGAAAAAACAGGGCCAGTACTTCAAACCATGGACTGGTCCTGGAGAATGAGCAAAACTTGCCTCCCTTGCGTTAAAATCTGTATGAACGCTTCTCCCTCCCTTTGGTCAAGGAAAGAAATTGGCTTGGCTACAGTTCTGGCCCACCCTCCAGGGGTGACCACATGTACTTGTTGGAAACTACAATATCCAGCACAGTTTAAAGCAAAGGAAAGGTGTAGTTTGCCGTTTCCCTTCCCCTGCAGGCTTTCTGCTTCTTCTGACTTCTTCACCTGTATGTCTTTATACAACAACAGCCAAAGAAAATTCCAGTAAGCAAATACTTGAAAGAACCACACATTCCCTCATTATCAGATCATGACACATAATCATTCACACTGATGTGGTACTCTGGTATTGATTCCGCCAGGCAAGGTTAGTAACAATACACCATGCAGCATCAAGCAGAAGGGGCTGGAAAGCAGAAAACTCACCTCGGCAGGTTCGGAGCTGGTGTCGAAGACGATACTTGGGAAGGAGGAGTCGCAGGCTGTGAAGATTCATGGTTGCGTGGAACTCTGCCCATCCGGTACCAAATGCCCATGTTGTTCAACTCCCTGTGTAATCAACACAGAAGACGTTAATTGAGGTGCTGGAGCGTGTCCAGAGAAGGGCAACGAAGCTGGTGAAGGGCCTGGAGAACAAGTCTGATGAGGAGCGGCTGAGGGAACTGGGGCTGTTCAGCCTGGAGAAGAGGAGGCTGAGGGGAGACCTCATCAAGCTCTACAACTACCTGAAAGGAGGTTGTAGCGAGGTGGGGGTTGGTCTCTTCTGCCAATTAACTAGCGATAGGACGAGAGGAAATGGCCTCAAGTTGCGCCAAGGGAGGTTTAGATTGGACATTAGGAAAAATTTCTTTACTGAAAGAGTGGTCAGGCCTTGGAACAGGCTGCCCAGGGAAGTGGTGGAGTCACTAACCCTGGAAGTATTTAAAAGATGTGTAGATGAGGCGCTTAGGGACATGGTTTAGTGGGCATGGTGGTGTTGGGTTGACGGTTGGACTTGATGATCTTAGAGGTCTTTTCCAACCTTAATGATTCTATGATTCTAATGCTACAAGCAAATGCTGCACACGTGCACAAGTATCAAGCACTGACGTGTTTCACAAACACCTTGGTTAGTGAGAACCAGTCCCATTGGGAGAAAAAAAAAAAAAAAGGCTTTCGTTAATTCCTACTTCAAACTCAGTAACACTTGTACTTATGTAGACTTTTCTAATGACAAGCTTCAGCTCTTACAAACTACTACTCAGCAATTACAGGAAAACAGGGTGCTTAGCCTTGATGCCATTGAATTTATGACAACAGCTTCAGGAGTGAGGGGTACTTACCCTATGAACGTGTACTGAGGAGGGGCTTGTTTAGATCTACCCAGGATTCGGATATCACAGATCGCTGCTTCTGTAGAATCTCGAGGGATGAATTTAATGCACAGCCTCTTCTTTCTGAAAGCTATTTCTTCTGCAAAAACAACCCAGGACACAGGGTGCTTTTTATGCAAGATTAGGGTATAAATGTTATTTATTGTCTCTCCCAATATTAGGCAGATAATTATGGCAGGAACTGGAGCCAAAGAACAGATATATGTCAGCAAACCAGACAGTGCAGTGCCATTCAGTGACTGGAGAAATTTTCTATCAGGAGCTCTCTGTACACTGTGTGAGATTTGTTATTAGGCACTGCGATAAACCAATACTCCCTACTACCCTCTGCAGAGAAGATAAGACATCATGTATGCCACAGAGTACTGCACCACAGAACAGAAATGGCAGGTGATTTTTCCACTTCCACATACTTTTCACATTCGCTTTCTCTTTCCAAGGTAATGTTTGCCTTACCGGCCTGGATACTCGTACCTAAATATTCCTCCCACAAGTATTGCCTCTAGGAACATAACCTGGAAGCTGCTGACACAACCAGTCAGTTTATTCTGCCAAGTGCTTCCAAACAGCCAACCAAACCGAGAGGAGCAGGAGGCAGAAAAACAGACTGCCTTGCACAGTGCCTAACAGTAAAAGCTGTCTGCCCAAATCTCACGCAACCTAAGTGTTAATGACCTCTCCTAACTCAGTCAGCAAGCACTGGAACGATACCCCCACCATGTTTACCCTGGTATCTTTGTAGCGACAAACCAGATTTACAAAGCAGTAATTGCTAGGACCTCCTACGGGGCAACTGTGCTGCACTGACCTGTGTTCAGGGTGGATGAATCTGCTGCGTGGCCCTTTCCTGCTATGCATCGCAGAGCAATTTCCATGTTATCCATCAAGAAAAACTCAAGCCCATCAGAGTTAAGGCTTATCTGTATAATGAATTAATGTATATGCATGCTGTCTGTCTGCATGCAGATACAATCCACATGCAGCTAAGAGTCAGTCGCATGACAACAGGTGGTACTGGTACACAGATACAGATTTGCGGTGCTTGGAAACCATTGCTCTATCTCACCCTAAAGAGTCTGTGAGAGTCTCAATGTGAGCAAGGTGAGGTTTCTACCTGTGAATGCAGGCACTTGAAAGACATGACAGAAGTCTATTGATAAACTGAAAAATCTAAAGTGCAGACACTGAATGAAAATCTGGAAACAACCAACAACTACAAACAAGTGCCTGCAAAATAAAAACCCTTCAGTTTAATATGAATAAATATCCTTCAGCTTAAAAATATGCTCTCACTTCAACAGATGGCAAGCAGCCCTCTATAGGCTACTCCTGTTTCATAATCCACACCTTGGAGAAAGCAATCCATCCCAGCCTCTGAAATCTGCTGTCGCACCAGCACCGATAAATGTACAGGCAGTACGAGGTGTGTCACAATACAGCATCTGTGCAGGCAGCTTTGCAGTTACTGTGCCGCTTTTTAGAGATGTTAAATACCTGTATCCCTGAAGTCTAGTCTTCTCCTGCTTTGGAAAACCAGGGCTTTTATTTGAAGTGCCTAAAACCAGTTTTAGGAGCCCAGGGTTTAAGGCTTCCACATCTGAAAATTTTCTCAGAACCTACTAAGGAGTACTATATTTAATATATTTACTTCAAGTCAACTGTCACTTAGAGAAAGCACAGAAACGTGTATAACCACAAATTTAACTCTGAACAAAATCTGTACTTACTGTGAAAGTCAAATAAGACGCACTAAACTGACTACTTGCTTTTGTCTTTGGTCTCTTTCACATTTGGCTAGAGTCTGCAGTCTGTAGCAAACTTGGTTTAGGAGCTGGATTCATTAATTACGCATGCTTAACCAGAGTTAATTTTAAGTAAACATATAAACAGTCAATCGAAATGTGTTTATTCATGCTAATGGAGGCAGGGATATGCACCACTTCATCTGCTTTAAAGATTGTATGGGTCAAAATCCAATGCATTTTAAATTATTTACAAGGTCCCCTTCCACCAGGACTTTCACAAAAATTACAGCAGCACACGGTAAGTGTCCAGCACTCCCAAGGGCGAGCAGGATAAGCCGACAACTCTCCCCTGTGCCACAAGAGCCCAGGAATTCTCCAGGGAAAGGGGGTGACCCAGGAGAATGGGAAACGGGCTGCAGAGCCTTTCACTTCTAGGTCATGGGTTCAAATCAGAACCAGGGTGGTAGCGACTGAAAAACCATCCTCATCTGCTGCAGACCTGGATGAATTATTCCCTGCAAAGCAGGCTCATATAACTCGTTTCCACTCATAACTAGGCTGGATTTCATTGCTGACGAGCACTGGTACCAACCCTGCTCTTGAGCAGTAGTTGTACAGTGAGCACCAGCGCACGGTGTCCTGCAGCCCTTCCGCACTCAGCTCCCATGGGGCTCGTCCCCAGCCTCCTCCACACTGCAAGCCCAAAGCACTTGATGCCTGCTGCAGAGCAAAGTGCTGCGACCAGATGTGGCTCCCGCTGCTGCTGCCATGAGTCTTGGGGGATCCAAATACATTGGGAACTCCTGGCTTAAATGTGGCAACAAAGCCATTTCTGCCTTGCAGAAATGAGGATGGTATTTTCCCTGGACATTCCACTTGCGCCTTCCCTCAGCAAGCGCAAACATACCCCACCATCCTCAGCACTACCTGCCAGGACATGGGCCTTCGTTTGTTCACAGAGGGAGGCGTAAAACTGGCATGCATGAACCCAGCACCATGAGCACATGCCTCTCCTTTTGGTATCAATTTGTGAACGTCCCCCAGCAAAGCAGCTCTGCTCCCACTAGGCCTAGTCCACCCTTGCAAAATGAAAGAATAAACTATTCCTTCCAGCCCCAGAGCTGTGCTGCTCTAGCAGGTGAGCTCGTGACAGTCAGGCAGCGGTATTAAAAGAGTACAGGAAAACCGAAGGCTGTTTCACTGCAGTCCAGAGTTGTCTCCAAACATGCACATGTAACCCCAGAGAGCGGCAGTGCCAAGAGCATCCCTCTGCCTGGGACACAGCCCTCCACCACCTGACCACACAGGCACTGGTGGAGCGGCTGCTGTCAAGGCATGGAACTGAAGAACAGACGCCAGCTTACGTGTATCGATGGTCTCCTGGATGGGGATGAAGCCCACAGGTAAAGTGTCCTTGATATCAATGAGCTTCATATCAACCAAGACGTTGCCTAAATGACTCTTCGGAGAGAGAAAAGAAACAGTTGACTATGACAATGTCACCAAATTTAAACACAGCTTTTCTCACCTGCTATCATTGTATCTGACCACCAACTTTAAAAATGATAAGGGGGTACCAACACTTGCAACTGTCCCCTCTGCAGGAACTACATGATGATTGACTAGGAGATATCAGACAACTTTCAGCATTTACAGATTCTTACACCTCATCCACTGCCATACTTCTGGATCCTCAGAAGCACAACTAAATCCCTCCCTTTGGAAACATGGCAGTTCAAAGTATTACCTCCACTCATCCACTAAGCTTAGTTCTCACACACATTACATCTACAATAGCAACATGACATTTCTGTGACAGTAACAGCAGAAAGCATTACGGGAAGATGGTTCATGCAGACACAGCCAAAGTTATTACATGCATTAGCTAATTAGTACTGAATAGACATGGTTCTAGCTCCAAACACAGGAGCACTCCAGAAGAGCAGGCCATTTGGAATGAAGAACTTCATTTGGAGTACATATGAATTCTGAACTGATGCCTCGTCCTATTAATCAAGGCTTGAAGAGCTCAAAACACAATTCAGAATGACAGCCTCCACAATTGTTTAGAGACCAGATTTTCTTTGCAGTTCTCGTTAAAGCCAGCATTGCTGCCAATAATCTGGATTCATGTATGGAAGAAAAAACACACTTTAGTTACTACACAGCCTTTATAAACAGAAATGCAATACAGAACAATTAAAATTTCATCCTAAGCCATCAAACCATGTCAGTGTGTTTTATTGTTACCAGTTGCTAAGTACCTCCTTTAGTTTTTATCTGGCGGAGTATTTCAGGCAAACCTCTACTCTCCGATTGTCACACTGAACTACTTTAAAACGTATTTAAATTTGCAGCCTCTGAAATAAGGGGAGATCAGGTCTGAGTTTATTTTTTGGAGGTTCTGCATTTCATGGTCAACTCGTCACCAGGAGGGCCACCATGCCTGCAGCCCTGTCCCACCACACACAAGCGTGGCACACATCCTTTGCTCAGGGCAAAGTGGCCAAGGCCGGGCAGCCCCCACATGCCTCCGTCCTCCCTTTGGCCAGGGCATCTCAGATCATGCAATGCTGGATGCTGTGAAGTCTGCATGTATCAGTTAATATGGTCCTGGCACAGCAAATGGTAGATGAAGTGGTTGCTCCTGATTCATCTTTCATGTTTTGTTTATCCAAACTGTCTGGCTGCGTTACATCAGCGTACAACTTTCAGCTGAACCAACGACCATCCCTCCATCAACAGCAGACAGGTAGGAGAGAGGCCCCTGATAAGTTCGTTAGCTGGTGAAACACTGGGAATCAGCATTGATGCTCTGCCATCAGAGGAAAAGGGCACAAAGCCTCCCCATTTGAGAGATGCACTATTCGGGGCCTCCTCACCATGACACTCAAATACCAGCAATGTCCTCATAATCTGTCAAATATTGTAAGCTGTTGAGAATGATGATTCTGATAAAGAGACACTACAGACTGTCTCCGTTATAAACCAGGCATCTGAGGTGCATTAACTCTGCTAACTACAACATGTTCTTCAGGACAAATAGTTCCCAGTGTTTTTTTTTAAAAACAAAAAAACCCTGAGCAGTAAAGCTTCCAACCCAAAATGCAGCAACACATCAATGTCCAGGCAAGAGGAGCCTTTCCCTCCTGGATGAGGGCTCTAGGTCACTGCTACCGGGGACCGAGGCCTTTTAACACTCGGAGGTCCCCAGTCAGGCAGCACATTGTACCCCTGTGTGGCCAGAGAGGACTGAGAGGGGAAAGAAAGCTCTTGCTGGGCTAACCAGGGACAAGGGTGCTGCTCCCCCACCAGTCTGGTCCCCTCCTCCTCCCAAGGCCATCAGACTGCTTCCAGCCTTCCTGCAGCCAGGGGACCAGGAGGGCTGATCAGCTCTGTGTGCTTCCCAGGGGCGGCCAGACTGGCGCCAGCATCTACCAGTCTGGTCTCTGCCTCACAAAAAGGCCCCCTCGCACACGCGAATCCCATGGCCTCAAGCAGCACAAGCGCACGTTCTGTCTAGCGTGGGCAGAGGGGTGTCCTTGGGAGGGAGCCTGCTCAGCTGGCCAAAGCTGACCGGCCTTGGGAAATCCACCCTCTGAGAAGAGAGGGCGCTCCCGCTGTCCATCAGGTACGGCCGCGATGAACCACAGGAGCACCAGCTCCACACCAGCACCCAAACACCAGCAGCACTGCCTGCAGGCTGCTGCCCTGGAGCTCTGCCAGAAGCGCCCGTGGGTCTAACATGCCACTGATGCAGGACTTGAGACAACCCGCGCGTGGGACACGGCGACTCGCGCCATGCCTCACACACCAGGCTGCCGCGCAGCTGGGACTGGCAGTCCTCCCCCCACACTCCCTTTAATTCACTCCTCATCAATATGAGGAACATATTACCAAACCGTGCTGAGCAGAGGATTCATGCCAAAAGCCCAACAGGCACTGACTGAGGGTATTTACACTGTCCCTGGTAGCCAGCAGTTGCTACTATCCTGTAATTATTTCTGACAACCTCACATTTAAGGTAACCACAGAAAAACCTAATACTCAAATCATCACAAGTCTTTCTGTTTAATATCCTCCCTGCCTATTCTGGGGCTATTATTTCTCCTACTGCAGGTACTCCAGGATGAAAAGCACAATTATTGTCCATCCAGCCCAGGAAGCAATATTTCCCATAGCTCTGGAGCTTTATTTTAATCTAGAGGCAGGCAGGGAAGCGGATGGAATAAAGGTCAAATGCTGGAAACTGGCAGCCCCCAGCTTTCCTGTCAGGACCCATGATCAGCCTCTGAAGTCGCGGTTGCTCTTCTGTTCCTGCCATTGGTGAAAGCATGAGTACAAAATGGTATCTCCACACCCTGACAACTGAGTCACTGTGAATATCCAAAACACGACAAAAAGCAGGATTACCCACTAGATGGAGTGCATTCCTTGTAGAATTAAATAGATCCTCCAGAAAAGAGGAAGTTTTCACACTAGCTGCAACCAAAAACACAGTAGAAGACTTCAGGCTCTCACTGCACATGGTCTCCTCTCCTCCACGAAGGATGTGGGCAGACAACTGCCGCTAACCAGAAATTAACTTATGCTCAATAGCCATACTAGAATATTACAAGAATATAGTAGCATATGCACAACATGGGCAAATTTTCAAGAATCAGCACCAAAAACAACGAAGAAAGAAAAGCTAGTCCTGCAAGAAAATACCTATGACGCCCCCGGATTCGGAAACTAGTATTTCCTTCATCAACACTACCTGCAGCATTTGGTTCTCTAGGTAATTAGGAGTTAGAAATTCATCAGGATCGTGAGCATGCAGTGCCCGTTGCTACAGCAGGAAATGCTAGCGTGAGGGGGTTGCTGAAATGCAAGCATTCCCTTTTCTGCTGCTTTTATTGCAGATTTTGCCAGCGATTTCTTTCCATGAAGAACATAGACAAAATGCAAATATCTAGCCATTGCAGTTTGCCTCCTGACTCACCCAAACTCAGTGAAATGCCTGCTTGAATTATAATCGGCTCCATAAAATGAATCATCTTATGGGTAAGAGCATACCAGGCACAGATGCAAATCATGCAGACACTCAGCAAACGGACTTACATTTTCTTTTGAAAATGATCTCGTGAAGCACAGGTATCTTGTGACCTTGGATTTAAATAAGCCATCTTTCCAGAGGTCAGCATCCAAGCCATCTGCTGTTTGTGCAACCTGGAAAGAGACAGAGGGAGAGAAGAGACATGTGAGCCAAGATAAAGTTAATATGTGCAGTACTTCTTCCTCAGACCTCTTTTAATTAACGGTAGCCCGAACTCTCACAGCATCTCATTAGTTTCTTCACGAGGTGCAATGCAAAGAACTTCCAAGAGGAGGTATAAAAAGAAGTTCTAAAAACGCTGTCTCTTGGGAGTCCGTTGATTAAAGATGCTCTGACAAAGGCTATTCTAATGAGAAAACAGCAAATTTGGTTACAGTCTCCAAACAATAGTTTGGAAGAGTCAGCATATCGAGGCTCTCATTACCACCCTACACGCAAGGGCGCAGTGGGGCAAGCTGTGAGGAGGGGTCCGTGTAGACAAAGCACAAAAACTGCCCAATCTCAGTATTATTTTCACAGAAAAGCCTTCAAGGAATTCTGGCTTCCAGGCCAAAAAGTTGCTTCCAGCAGCTGGGGAAAGCCCTGGTCACTCACAGACTTTAGCAGCAGTGCTGCGCACAAGGACGCACCCTGCAAACGTCCCTCTCCAACGCAACCCTGCGTCCAGTCGAACCAGTGGCACACACCGCATGGAGGGCAAAGGAAACACACCCTGGGCCCTTCACCAAAGAGACAGAGGCACGTACAGGAAGAGAAAGGCAGAAGATCTCGCCTTCGAGCTGATTCAAGGAGTGGCACGAGGCAGCACCATGCCCAGGGAAAGGGCTCTGCTCTATTAGCAGCTGGGCACTTGCCCTGCACAGTGCAAGCTGGCAAGAGCCCCTGCCTCAACAGGTTTGCTGGCGAATAAGAGAGAAGGGTAGCAGAAATAAGATCACCCCACCAGACTAATGCCCAACTGATGGCTCCCAACAGGAGACTTTAGCGTGGTCTGAAGCTACGCAGAAGCACAGCCAACTTCTGCCTAATGCCTCTCAGATGGGGGCAAACCACTGCACTGCAGCTCTTCCAAGCCTAATCTTACTGAATTGAGTAACACCTTGGCCACAGAGCAGCCTGATAACAAAGAGCTGACATTCGTTGTTACTGTTCGCACCCCTGTTTTGTTGAGCAGAGACTCTGTGCAGGAAGCAAGAGATGTGTGCTGACAAGACCCTCCAATTATCCAAAGTGCGGGAGAGAAAAGCGTGTTTGTTGTCTGATCAGCAAAGGGAGCAAAGTGCATTGGCTGCTCTTCGCATTTCGGCAACTGTGTTCACAAGTCCCTGCTCGGCTCAAGCCCTTGTATGACACACACAGCTTTTGTGGCCAGGCTTCTGCAAAGAAACATGCATCATTTTTAGATAGCAAAATTTTAAAACAGGATTTTGGTGGCATTTTTTTTTTTTCTTTATTACTCCTTGAATTCAACTCTTTCCTAAAGTGCTAGTTTAGGAATATATAAAATCCACATGCATCTCCCTCCCCTACGGGTAAGTCAGTCCTGGTGAAAAGAAACTCAGAAAGCAGACTGCTTAGAAAAACTGTTGGCATATAGGTACACTTAGCTTGAACCCCAGCCCTTGTTAGAAACAGTTTGAGGGACTACAACCAGATTTAATCACTTTGTTAATTAATATGGTTTGAGTTCTATGTTTCAGTTTTTCTTGTGTTAGCCAGTTCTGTTTTCTTTGTTCCCACATTAAAGATGCTCAAAACTCAACAGGCAGCAATAGACCCAGTGTGCAACTGTAAAATTGGTGCTATACAAGTTGCTGTCAAATGCACTTTTTATCTAACCTCTGTAAGCTTTAGGAACTTTACATTACTTACAACAATACCAAATAATTTTGGGGGTGCAAGTGCATCACTTCAGTTGATATAATCTCCTCTACAACTCACTGCCCAGGGCACAGCTGGATCACAGCTGACCGAGCCACCTGAAGGGCCCCTGTCCTGGCAGGCTGGCACTGCCGCCCCTCCGGAGGAAGGGAGGCCTGGCACTGTTATACTCTGACTTCACGCTGAAAAAAACCCAAGAACTCCAACACCCTTTTAGGAACAACCCTGCCATGCTAACCCATCAAATATCTAGTAGAAAGACCCAAGCTGGTTCCACAGGGAGCCACACGGCGAGGCACCCGACCCATCTCCAGGGAGGCACAGCAGTCCAGGCTGACCCCACGCTCCCCTCCCTGCCCGTGCCCGACAGCCAGCCTGGGCAGCACGGGAGTGGATGGCAGGACCCAGGTCCTTGGCTCCCAGGAGCCAGCAGTGCCAGGCCTGGCCCACAGCGCTGCCCCTTGAGGACAGGGTCCCTGCTGAGCAGCCACTCAGGCCCCTCTGATGCTTCCTCACCCAGCTGAGCTGCCGGTCACTGCCCGACTGCCTGCTGCGGCAGCACCAGGCAGACCGCACTGTGCCACTTGTGGAGCCTCGCAGGAGGACACAAGCAGTGGAGCAAAAAGCAGCTGGGGGTAAGAGCTCGCCAGCCCCGGGGCTGCACGGGAATGCCAGC